AGTTTGAGGTTGCTGTGAGCTAGGCTGACGCCACGGCACTCACTCTAGCCTGGGCAACAAAGCGAGACTCTGTCTCAAAAAAAAAAAAAAAAAAAAAAAGAGTCCTCAAACTAAATGGCAAAGGAGACACAAGCTATCAAAATCTATGGGTTTCAGCAAAAGCAGTCTTAGCGGGAAAATTCATAGCCTGAAATGACCACATCAAAAAGACAAAAAGGTCACAAATTCACAACCTAATGTCACATCTCAAGGAACTAGAAAAGGAAGAGCAAACCAAACTCAAAGTCAGGAGAAGAAAACAAATAACAAAGCTCAGGCCAGAACTAAATGGAATGGAATAAAAAAAAAATGCCAAGGGTCAACAAAACAAAAATTTGGTTGTTTGAAAAGATAATAAAAATTGATAGACTTCTTGCTAGAATAACCAGGAATAGAAGAGAAAGGACCCAAATAAACTCAATCAGAAATGACACAGGAGATATTACAACTGATAACAAAGAAATACAACACATCATCTGTGAATTCCATGAAAATCTCTAAGCACATAAACTAGAAAACGCAGAGGAAATGGACAAATTCCTGGAAATGCACACCTCCTAAGACTCAATCAGGAAGAAACAGAACTCCTGAATAGACCAATAATGAGTAGTAAGATCGAAGCAGTAATAAAAAATCCCAACAACAAAATAAAGCACCAGACCAGATGGATTCACAGCCAAATTCTACCAAACCTACAAAGAAGAGCTGGTGCCCATCCTACAGAAATTATTCCATAACATGGAGAAGGAAGGAATTCTCCCTAACTCATTCTATGAAGCCAATATCACCTTGATACCAAAGCCAGGAAAAGACACAAGAAAAAAGAATCTACAGACCAATATCCCTTATGAATACAGATATAAACATCCTCAACAAAATACTAGCAAACCGAATTCAATAGCACACCAATAATCCACCATGACCAAGTGGGCTTCATGCCAGGGATGCAAAAATGGCTCAACATACGTAAATCAATAAATGTGGTTCACCACATAAACAGAAGCAAAAATAAAGATCACATGATCATCTCAAATTCATAAAAAACATTCCACAAAATCCAGCACCTTTTAATAATAAAAACTATCAACAATTTGCATTTCTGTGATGATTAGAGATGTTGAGCATTTTTTCATATGTTCTTGGCCATAAGTCTATCTTCTTCTGAAAAGTTTCTGTTCATATCCTTTGCCCACTTTTTAATGGAGCTGTTTGATTTTTCTTGCTGATTTTCCTGAGTTCTATATGGATTCTAGTTATTAGCCTTTTATCGGACATACAGCATGCAAACTCCAGTAAGAATGGCTTTTATCAAAAAGTCCCCAAAAACAAATGTTGGCATGGATACAGAGAGTAGGAACACACTCATACACTGCTGGTAGGACTGCTAAGTAGTACAACCTCTATGGAAAGTAGTATGGAGATACCTCAAAGAACTAAAAGTAGAACTACCATTTGATCCAGCAATCCCACTACTGGGTATTTACCCAAAGGAAAAAAAGACATTCTATAATAAAGACATCTATATTTGAATGTTTATAGCAGCACAATTCAAAATTGCAAAAGTGTGGAAACAACCCAAGTGCCCATCAAGACATGAGTGGATTAATAAAATGTGGTGTATATATACTATGGAGTACTACTCAGTCATAGAAAATGGTCAACTACCTATTGTAGTATCCTGGATGGAGCTGGAGCCTATTTTTCTAAGTGAAGTATCCCAAGAATGGGGAAAAATACCCACCACATGTATGCACCCTTAAATTGTTACTAATTGATAAACAATAATGTGCCCACATGGGTAGTAACATTTACAGGGTGTTGGGCAGGTGGGAGGGGGGTGGAAAGGATGGGTAAATTTACACCTAATGTATGTCAGGTGCTCTGTCTGGGAGACAGGCACACTTGTAGCTCTGACCTGGGCAATGCAAAGGCAATTTATGTAACCAAAGCATCTGTATCCCTTAATACTCTGAAATAAAAAAGAGAAATGGACAATTTTTACTGAGTGGTAAGTAACTGAAAACATTTATATTAAAAACAAATCCTTTATATGTATGTATATACATGCAATAAAAAGTTTTCTTCAAATTAAAAAAAAACCTCAACTAATTAGGCATAGAAGGAATATATCTCAAAATTATAAAATCCCCATATGACAAACCCACAGCCAACATCATACTGAATGGAGACAAGTTGAAAGTATTACCCCTAAAAAATGGAACAAGACAAGGGTCCCAGTGTCACCACTACTATTTAACATAGTACCGGAAGTCCTAGCCAGAGCAATCAGTAAAGAGAAAGAAATAAAAGGTATCCAAATCAGGAAACAGGAGATCAAACTATTACTTTTCGCTGATGATGTGATCTTGTATCTAGAAAATTCCAAATATTCCACCAAAAGACTCCTAGAATTGATAACAAATTCAGCAAAGTCTCATGTTATAAAATTGATGTACACAAATCAGTAGCATTTCTATAAATTTATAACAGTCGAGCTGAGAGTCAAATCAAAGACTCAATACCATTCACAATAGCTACAAAGAAAACAAAATACTTAGGAATATACTTAACCAAGGAGGTGAAAGATGTCTACAAGGAGAACTATGAAACACTGAGGAAAGAAACTGTAGATGGCACAAATGGAAAAATATATCATACTCATGAATCAGTAGAATGAACATTGTTAAAATGTCCACACTGCCCACAGTGGTTTTACAGATTCAACCCAATCCCCATCAAAATATATACATCATATTTAATAGACCTAGAAAAAATAATTCTATGCTTTGTTTGGAACAAAAAAGAGCCTGAATAGGCAAAGCAATCTTAACCAAAAAGAACAAATCTGGAAGTATCACATTACTGACTTCAAATTATACTATTAGGCTATAGTAACCAAAACAGCACAGTATTGGTGCAAAAATAGAGACATAGCCCAATGGAATAGAACAGAGAACCTAGATATAAAACCATTTACTTATAACCACCTCATCTTCAACAAAGCAGACAGCAAAATACACTGTGGAAAGGAATCCCTATTCAATAAATGGTGCTGGGAAAATTGGATAGCCACATGCAGAAGAATGAAACAGGATCCCTATCTCTCATCATATATAAAAATTAATTCAAGATGGATAAAAGACTTAAATGTAAGCCATGAAACCATAAAAATTCTAAACGAAAATGTAGGAAACACTCTTCTAGACATCAGCCTAGGCAAAGAATGTATGACTAAGAATTTATTAGTCATAGAATAGCAACAACAAAAATAAATAAATGAGGGTTAAGTTAAAAGACTTCTTCACAGCAAAGGAAATAATCTGCAAAGTAAATAGACAACCTACAGAATGGGAGAAAAATATTCCCAAACTATATATCCATTAAAAGGCTAATATCCAGAATCTACAAAAAACTCAAACAAATCAGCAAGAAAAGAACAACCTCATTAAAAAGTGGGCAAAAACCAGAAGTTTTTCAAAAATGCTCAGCTTCACTAATCAACAGGGAAATGCAAATTAAAACCACAATGAGGTATCTCCTTATCCCTGTCAGAAGGTCCATTATTAAAAAGTCAAAAAAACAACAGATGGTGGCATGGACGCAGAGAGAAAGGAACACTTATACTGTTGGTGGGACTGCAAATTAGTGCAACCTTTATGGAAAACAGTATGGAAATTCCTCAAAAGAAATATAGACTTATCATTCGACCCAGCAATCCCCCTGCTGAGTTATCTGCCCACAGGAAAAGAATTCATTTTATCAAAAAGACATCCACACTCAAATTTTTATTGCAGCACAATTCACAATCACAAAGATGTGGAATCATCCTTAGTGCCCATCAATTCATGAGTGGATTAATAAAATGTGGTGTGTATACACACACACACATACACCATGGAGTAATACTTAGCCATAAAAAGGAATGAATCAATGTCTTTTGCAGCAGTTTGGATGGAACTGGAAACCATTATCCTAACTGAAGTATCCCAGGAATGGAAAAACAAACACCACATGAACTCTATGGTCATTTGGAACTAATCAATGGGCACACATGGTCACAGAGAGAAGTAAAAGTCATTGAAAATCAAGAAGGAGGGAGGGGTCAGAAGAGGAAAGGGTAAAAACCTACCTAACAGGTATAATGAACAATATTTGGGTGGGAAGCACACTAACAGCACTCACTTAAGCATTACAAAAGCAATCCATGCAACAAAAACATTTGTACCCCCATAGTACTTTGAAATAAAAAAGAAAGAAACTATGTTTTCAGACTCTGAATTTAAAGTCTCACAATCAAGGATATAAATGAGTAATGTCTGATTTTCCTATTTGGTATATGAATTTCAAGAGCTCTCCAAAGCATGATCAGATTGTGAAAATAAAATTTAAAAGCTGTTGGAACCCCAAAACTCTTTAAGTCTTAAAAGAGACAAAACAAAACAATGTGAGCTGAGTCAGGTAACATGTTTGTAATTCTGCTTCTTAGATTACAGCTTAACTCTTTCTCATTGTTCTTGTTCTGTAAACTATTAGGAAGACCAGAGACCAGACCTCTCCCTTCCAATCACTGATCTTTGTTACAGATTAACTACTTCCTTTATCGTCCTGTACCCAAGTCAGACCAAATGACACTGGAACAGGGACCCCACGACAGTTACATCTTCAGTGAGGAATGTTAAATGTACCTTTCCCAAAAGAAAAAGACCACCTCAACTAAGTATGCATTGTTGCAAGTATGCATTAAACCTTACATAGAAAGATGTTGAAATTCTGCTAAACTTTCCTGAAGTTTGTATAAATGGTCCTGAACTTTTACACTTTGGAACACTGACTTCCATTCTTTGGAATCTGTGCTTCCTGGGCAGGCCCATCTTCAACCTCTGCTGTTGAATAAATTCTCTTTAAACTAGATTCTGACTTTTTTTTTTATTATTTTAGGTTGACAAAATCAAAGAACTTACAGGGAAAAGGTAGACAAAGTCTCTCCAATAAAGTTCTCTCTATTCCACACTGACTTCTGCCCTTAAAAGAAATGTAATCCAGTTACAGTGCTGTATTAGGTAGAGCTACGGAACTATTAATAACTCTGGCGACGCACTGGGAAAAAGAAAAAAGAAAAACAATGTAAGCTGTTTTGTTTATTGAGGATGACACGACCAAGTGAGCATGTCTACTATACCCTATTTTAAGACTAAAAACTATGAAATTTGTACATTACTAGAAAACTCCGGAAATGTAAAGAACTGCCTGCATATTTAGGGGGCTCTTTTGGATGCCATACTCAAATCACCCTGAAATCAAAGCACCCCTCTTTCCTGGCAAGGCAGAGGTGGCCAAAGAAAAGGAGGCAGGTCTCACGGGAGCCGCAACCCACGCGCCAGCCCACCGCCCCAGAGCCTCCCGGCCCCTGCGCCCGCCCAGGGCCTCGACGGTGGCGCTCCGCGGCGACCTCCCCGAGGACACTCGCCTAGCTGGGGACACCGGCTGTGGCCGCGGGCCCGTCCGACCGGGGAAGCTCCGCCTGATACTCACCCGCTGGGGATACTCTTCTCCTTCATGACAGGAGAGGTGCGGGGCCCTCACGGCCCCAGGAACCCGGCTCTCAGGCCTCTACCAGAACAGAGCCCGGGGGCAGCTACGCCATCGTGGCACCCGCGTAGGCTGCGGGTGACGGACGCCGGTGGTTCCCGTGAGGCGCGCGGGCAGAGACGACGGCGGGAGAGACAGGCTCTGGCGCCTCAACGCGAGCCACAAGCCGAGGGAGGGACGAACAGATGAACCGCACAGAACATTCCCGAAGGCGCAACGCCCGAGAGGGGATGCACCGCGCATGCTCCTGGGCGGCCGTCCGCGCCAGCCGGGCTGCGGGCGTGAGGGGCGAGCGTCCGGAGCGGTCTGGTCGGTTGGTGAGTGTTCCCCGTCTGCAGTAACTCGTGCGCCCTGCCTCTGCTGCCCAGACCTAACAGAAGTGCGCCGTCCATCGAGGTGAATGTCGCGCTGCCTGTTAGGAGTCCTCGGATCCTTCCCGGTCCGACGCTCCGGCACCGGCACCGGGGTCGCCGCTCTACGCTGCGGGAAGGACCGGCGCCCGAGTAGCCAGGGCCCGAGCCGCGCGGGCCGCAGGGACTTGCAGGTCCTCGCAGGTCCTCAGGGCCTGTCCGACCCGTTAGCCATCCCCTTTGGGAATTAATAGGGTTGAAAACCGCTGCTTTTTACAGCGTTTGAGAGCGGTGCTTGATTTGCATCAAATTCGGGTCAGCATATTGAGTGCCTACTGTGTGCTGAACACCCTGCTAGGATTGGTGGGTGTAGGCAAATTCATGTCCCAGGCCTCGTCTGGGGTAAGCAGAAGGATGAATTTACAAAGTAGAAGGTCTTGCACAAAACTTAGCATTACAAACTGTAAGTGCTATTGGAAATCAAAGGCCAGAGTCAGAAAAAACTTCCTGGAAGATGTGGAGTTTGAATCAGGCTTTGAAACACGGAATGTTCTCCATTAGGGGAAATTTGCAAAAATCAAAGGATGGAGGTGTCAAGGGAGTGTAAACAAGAGTTTGAGCCTGCTCTAGTTGAAGTTTTTGTTGGAGAGTGGTGAGCGGGGGCTTAGATGGGGAAGTGGACATGAGGGTTCTTTGACTTCGCTTTCAGAAAGGGCCTCTGGGTTGACTTTCTCTCCAACTGACGCTCTAGTATGGGCACAGAGATAAATCTAGAGGTTTGAATAAAAGACATCACAGGACTTACATGTGTCGAGTTTCTAGATCTCATTGCCCATGGTTGGTTGCTCTATCAATTAGTACATTTTTATAAATCTTGTAATTAACTTGTGAGTACCATAACTACATTGCATTGTATGTGTTAGATATAAACTTTCAAAATATAGTACTACCTGTTTCCACATTTATTCAACTTTTCTGTAGCAGAAGTCCCCCAAAAGGAAATTGAGTTCAAATCTTTCTTGATCTACAAGCCTTGCTTCTGAGAGCAGTGGGTAATTTACTTTGGTGGCATTCAAAGACATATAAATTCACAGATCAGAAAATCCTTTGTCAGCCCCCTTGTTTTTAGTTTTTGATTTTGGAAAATGAGATCACAGTTAACTAAAAGATATTAATTTTCAAACTTGTCAGATAATGGAATACCTGAAAGTCATGATACTTTTTGTAGAACATTGTGAAATACTGCTATGTCACCCTTAACTAAATATAGAAATTTTTTGTTACATTCCACTTTTATTTATTTTTATTTTTATTATTTTTATTTTATTTTTCCTTTTATTTTATCATATTATGGGGGTACAAATATTGTTAGGGTTACATATATTGCCCCTGCCATTCCTCCCCCCTCCCTTACCAAAACATCAACTGTGTCCTACTGCCAGGTGGTGGGCATGGCACCTATTTTGTAAGTATATATCCTTCCCCTCCTCCCTCCTCCCATCTGCCCACCACCCATAAAAGTTTTTTTTCTTTTTTTTCCTTTTTTTGTCCTTTGGGTTACATTGTATATCTTTGCCTTTCTCTGTGAAGGGTTAGAGGTATTCCCTCCCTGCCCCACAATGCTCGCCACAACCCTAAGATGTGTATCTCCCCCTCCCACAAACCCTGGTGAGCACTATCACCATTTGAGCACCATAGTTTTAATCAGTCAGTACCAATTTGATGGCTAGTACATGTGGAGCCCATTTTCTTGATCTTGTGTCGCCTCACTTTGGGTAACGGGCTTAAGCTTAATCCAGGATAGCATAAATGGTACTAGCTCACTGTCATTTCTTAGAATTGAGTAGTATTCCATTGTGAGCATATACCAAATATTAATTATCCACTCATGAATTGACAGACACTTGGGTTGATTCCATGATCTTGCAATAGTGAATTGTGCTGCCATAAACATTTGGGTGCAGATGTCTTTATAGTAGAATGCTCTTTTGGGTAGATGCCCAACAATGATATTGCTGGGTCTAATGGTATTTCTATATCTAGCTGTTTGAGGTATCTCCAAATTCTTTTCCACAGAGGTTGCACTAATTTTCAGTCCCACCAGCAGTGTAAGAGTGTTCTTGTCTCTCCACATCCTTGCCAGCATTTGTTGTTTTGGAATTTCTTGATACAAGCCATTGTCACTGGTGTTAGATGGTATCTCATTGTGGTTTTGATTTGCATTTCTCTGATGATTAGAGATGTTGAGCATTTTTTTATATGTTTGCAGGCCATTATTCTGTCTTCTTTGGAAAAGTTTCTGTTCATTTCCGTTGCCCATTTCTTGATGGGGTTGTTTGATTTTTTCTTATTAATTCTTTTGAATTCTAGATAGATTCTTGTTATTAGACCTTTATCAGAAGTGTAGAGATCAAATATTTTCTCCCATTCTGTGGGTTGTCTATTTTCTCTACTGATGGTTTCCTTGGCTGTGCAGAAACTTGTTAATTTGATGAGATCCCATTTGTTTATTTTTGATGCAGCGGTGATTGCCTTGGGACTCTTCCTCAAAAATTATTTGCCTAGACCAGTGTTTGATAGGGTTTTCCCAATGTCTTCTTCTAGGATTCTTAAGGTTTCATGCCTTAGGTTTAAGTCTGTTATCCATCTTGAGTGAATTTTTGTGAGAGGTGAGAGGTAGGGATCCTGTTTCAATCTTCTGCATGTAGCTATGCAGTTTTCCCAGCACCATTTGTTGAAAAGGGATTCTTTTCCCCATTGTATATTTTTGTCTGCTTTATCAAATATTAGGTTGCCGTATACTGATGGTTTCATGTCTGGTATCCCAGATCTATTCCAGATATTGATGCTGATTTAACTATTATTGCTTTATAGTAAAGCTTGAAGTCAGGAAGATACAAAGTATATAAAATATATTAAATATATGGCACTGGCTACTCTTTCCTAGTACTGGAATATAAAAATAAAAGTGGCAAACAGAAAATAAGCAAAGAAATAATGGACCTGAACAGAGCCCTTGATCAAAAAGGTCTGACAGATCTCTATAGAACATTCCACCCAAATATAGTTGAATTTACATTCTTCTCAGCAGCCCATGGACCCTTCTCCAAAATTGATCACATCCTAGGCCACAAATCAGATCTGAAAAAATTCATTATGGTCAGAGAAGATACAAAGTATAATTTCTATTTTCTTGAATTTTTTCAGATCTGATTTGTGGCCTAGGATGTGATCAATTTTGGAGAAGGGTCCATGGGCTGCTGAGAAGAATGTAAATTCAACTATATTTGGGTGGAATGTTCTATAGAGATCTGTCAGACCTTTTTGATCAAGGGCTCTGTTCAGGTCCATTATTTCTTTGCTTATTTTCTGTTTGCCACTTTTATTTTTATATTCCAGTACTAGGAAAGAGTAGCCAGTGCCATATATTTAATATATTTTATTTTGAGAAAATGCTATCTGTTGCTTTACTTTTATCATAACTTTGAATGAGACCTTCATTTTTGGTAGAGCATCCTAATTCAAAACAAAGAAGTCTGGAAGACCATGATTTAAGAAAAACAAGAGAGTTCAGAAAGAATTATTTATACTGTGTGACAAAAGATGAACTGAGATAAAGATAAAAGTGGATTTGGGTCTGAATTCAGATCTGCTAAGGAAGGAAAGTGTATTAATACATTTAGAAAGATTTCAACAAGAGTTCGGGGGAAATTAAAGGGAAAACAAATTTCTGGTTAGCTCATAATTAATCAAAGAAATATTACTGGATACCAGAATATGCATTTTGTGACTATACCATACAGTAGAGATTTTTGGGGGGGATTTTTCTATAATTTTATTCTGCTAGCACTCCTGAAACCAAATGGCATGTGACAGAAATAATTAAGAGTATTGAAAATTGTGCAAAAAAGAAGTCTATGCTGATTCCTAGAGTGTGTTTCTATGCAGTAGTTAATACTTCAGCATTCTGTCCCACCTAAGGAAGCATCAGGGGATCCTGAATAGTCTTGTGTACTTATGTGGCAAGTTGGACTCTACAATTATGCCTGGGGAATTGCTTGGATTTGCATTTTATCCTTTATGTTGAATGATACTCTGCTGCAAGGTTATTTGTTGAGCTGAAAATGAATGTGGAAAGAGAAATAAATCCCACAGAGACTTTTTAGCCTCCACTACCAAAAATATTTTTATTAAATTTAATGTTTTCTACAATTTGGAAATACAAGAAATTGAAATTAGGTGATTACTTCTTACTTTGTTATGTGACTCAACAAGTTCTTTATGTTTTTTTCTTATTAAATTGGTGTTTTGTTGAATTTTTGTTGTGAAGTTGCAGAAGTTGACCTCCATCCCAATGACTCTGTATGAATGAAAATGTGAACTATGAGGAATTCTGACTTTTGCAATCACTTAAAAATAATACTTTTCGCTCTTTCCCATCTTGCAAGATGGCGGGTGAAAAAGTTGAGAAGAAGCCGGATACTAAAGAGAAGAAACCTGAAGCCAAGAAACCTGAAGGCAAGAAACCTGAAGCCAAGAAGGCTGAAGCCAAGAAGGCTGATGCCAAGAAGGCTGATGCTGGTGGTAAAGTGAAAAAGGCTAACCTCAAGGCTAAAAAGGTTAAGAAGGGGAAGCCACACTGCAGCCGAAATCCTGTTCTCGTCAGAGGAATCGGCCGATATTCCCGATCTGCCATGTACTCTAGGAAGGCCATGTACAAGAGGAAATACTCAGTGGCTAAATCCAAGGTTGAAAAGAAAAAGAAGGAGAAGGTCCTCGCCACTGTTACAAAACCAGTTGGTGGTGACAAGAATGGTGGCACTCGGGTGGTTAAACTTCGCAAAATGCCTAGGTACTATCCAACAGAAGATGTTCCTCGAAAGCTGTTGAGCCACGGCAAAAAACCGTTTAGCCAACACGTGAGAAGACTGCGAGCTAGCATCACTCCCGGGACCATCCTCATCATCCTCACCAGACGCCACAGAGGCGAGAGGGTGGTTTTCCTGAAGCAACTCGGCAGTGGCTTGTTACTTGTGACTGGACCTCTGACCCTTAATCGAGTTCCTCTGCGAAGGACACACCAGAAATTTGTCATCGCCACCACCACAAAAATTGATATCAGCAACGTGAAAATGCCTAAGCATCTCACCGATGCTTACTTCAAGAAGAAGAAGCTGCGGAAGCCCAGACACCAGGAGGGTGAGATCTTCGACACAGAAAAGGAGAAATACGAGATTACAGAACAGCGCAAAGTGGATCAGAAAGCTGTGGACTCCCAAATTTTACCAAAAATCAAGGCAATTCCTCAGCTCCAGGGCTATCTACGATCTCTGTTTGCCCTGACTAATGGAATTTATCCTCACAGATTGGTATTCTAAATTTTTACAAAGAACCTAATTAAATAACTGAAAGATACAAAAAAAAAATAATGCTTTTCGTTTCATCTTTGACTTTAATTTCAATTATTGCAGATATAAATTAAGATAGTATAGTAAAATCTATTTTGTTAACATCCTACTTGATAGTAAAGTAAAATTGTTTATGTTTTATCACATCTGTTTCCATGGATACATCATTAATAGAAAGAAAAATGGTTGCAAAACTACAAATTGTACTCTATTTTTGCATATTTCTGTATTCCAAGTCTGTCTAGGAACAGATCTCCTGTACAACCATATTTTTTGAGGTTTTCAAAGGTCCAAGTGATACATTCCTACCTGAATGTTAAATTTACACACACAGCATAAACTTTAGGAAATTTCATTTCAGAAATCACCATAGTGATAGAGCACTGCTGAATAATTTGCATAACCAAGCGCTTTCTAAATGCTAAGCAAGAAGCAAATATTTGTACCAATAAAATTGCCTTCTGTTCGCTATGGATCAGAAATGGTTAAATAAACTGGTAGCTTTATTTCTCAGACTTTGACTATGGACTTTCAGATCATCTTATACAAAAATAGCTAATCCTCAATTTCCTTACCTTTTAGAAAAAGCTTTAACTGCAAGAATTATAAATTAGGACTATCCTCAAAGACAACATTGAGTTTAACTGTTGGAGCCAGTTTTCTAATACAGAAAGTTAAATGGTTGTAAGAAGGTAAAAGTCTGTGCTGTAACTTTTTCTTTATTTAATCTTGGTAAGTTAGCAGGAAAAATCTTAAGGATGTTAATAATCTTTTAAAAAGTCATTAAGTTAATTTCTTAAGTGCCTTTTTAGCTGATTGTACAAAGAATTTAGCTTAGACCTGATTCATTTCTGTTCTAAGGCTATTTGAGTATTTTTAACCACAGTCCAGACTTCTCACCTTCTCACCTGTTCCATAAGCATCCATAAGTAACATCTGCAAATTGAATTCACTAATCGCTACCTCAACTACCTTCCTATTTTTACAATACTGAAATGATGCTACCTCTCATTTAAGCCAAAAATCTGGGAGCTCTCCTTGACTCCTCCCTCATTTTATCCCATACATCAAATCACTCACCAAATCCTGTGAATTAAGGATTAAAGAAATCTTTCTCTGCTTTCCATTCCCATATCTTTTTTTATTCAGATCTTTAGTATCTCTCAAAATACTATGGCCTCCTAATCAGTCTCCCTGCTTCCATAGACTATCTCTATATTTAATTAGGCCTGTTTTTTTCCTCACTATAAAGTGTTATACTTTTGGGGGGAGGGAATTACTACATATTTTACTTGAAGTAATTGCTAAGTATTTTGGAATTTTTTTGTATTGTTGTGAAAAGGATCTTTTTTTATATTAGCATGTAGGGTAGACATTGACTTTTACGTATATTCTCTTATATTCTGCCACTTACAAACTTTCCAATTACATCTAAACTTTTGTGATTGAGTCTCTTGGATTTTCCATATATAAAAACCTGTCATTAATAAGCAGTGATAATTTTGTTTTCACGTAATTTTGTTTTCAAGTAAGAGTTACATCTCTTCTTTTGCATGTCTTTTGTATTAACCAGTATTTCTATTAAATACTAAAGATGATCAGATATTAAATATTAAATGCTAAAGATGATAGTATGTTTCTTTTCTGGTGAATTTTGAAGTTCTTTCAGAAAATCTATAGACTGGGCTATTTTTATGAAAAATTTTGTTTTTAGTTAAATTTAAAAATTTAAATAGCATACTTTTTATCTTCAAGTATCATAATAGTCCATTTTCTTTTAGTTACAGAATGTATCATTCTTAAGAATATTTCTTATTTATTTAGAAAGTAGAAATAAAAGAGCCATCATGAAAAAGATCTTAAAGAGAAGAAAAGATACTAAAAAAAAGGTAAGGTATTAATGGAGTTTATAAGGATTTTGATTATTTTAAGTAGCCCAATTATAAATGTAGGATTATCCTGATAAATGTGATACATTTAGTTCTATACATAAATCATAAATTCATATGTTAAAAAATAATAAAAGAGCTTAGGGATGAATTATATTCTTATTTGGTCTGTCAGTCATGCAATAAGGAGCATTAGAGATGAATTATTTATGTACTTAATCTCTTATTTAAAGATTCATTTATTTATGTGTTTTCTTAGCCAGACAGAAAGCTATTCCGTGCTTTGCTCAAAAAAAATATTTTTATTCAGTGAATGAAACCTATATAGGACCAATATCTATGTCTGTCTTAGAGTAACTCCAATTAAGATTCATATTTTATCCCTGCCTTCTAGTTGGAATTGAGAAGTTATGAAAAAGTGTACAGAATCCTGAGAATGGTGGGTGAGATTACTGGGAATTAAAGGTAGACTTCTATCAATCACTTGCTAGAGTTGATGTTCTATCATGCCTTCACAGGTTGCTATCCTTTGGTCAAGAGTAATATTAAGTAATTTTAATTGTCTTGAGAAAAGTACTGAAGGTTGATTAAGAAGTAAGGGAACATCTTAGTCCATATTGATATTATTCAGTAGCTCTTAAGTGTGTGTCTATAGGAACAACTAATGAATTTTGAAGTTCTTTTGGAAAGTCTACAGACTGAGCTCTTTTTATGATAATATTTTCCTATCATCATATCAGTGGTCTGCTTTGATTTTTGACACAAATGCATGTTTTTACTGTGATTGCCATGCTCATGTATGTCTGCTTGATCTTTCCAACTGCATACTAGTTGGGTTAGCATGTACAGTTGTTATTTCAGGAATTCTTGCTATTATAGTTCTTAAACTTAAAATTAAAAACAAACGTATACTTCATATCATTCTGAAAAGGATTTAACATTTTCTAGAATAGTTTACTTTTAGAATATTGAGGTTTTTTTTTTTGAGACAGAGTTTCACTTTGTTGCCCAGGCTAGAGTGAGTGCCTTGGCATCAGTCTAGCTCACAGCAACCTCAAACTCCTGGGCTAAAGCAATCCTCCTGCCTCAGCCTCCCAAGTAGCTGGGACTACAGGCATGCGCCACCATGCCCGGCTAATTTTTTTCTATATATATTAGTTGGCCAATTAATTTCTTTCTATTTATAGTAGAGATGGGGTCTTGTTCTTGCTCAGGCTGGTTTCGAACTCCTGACCTTGAGCAATCCGCCCACCTTGGCCTCCCAGAGTGCTAGGATTACAGGCGTGAGCCACTGCGCCCGGCCAATATTGAGGTTTAAAAACTAGAAAAGAAATGCTCATTTTAACATACTGAATTTTTGTTGATGGTAGAACATCCCATTAGAATTACAAGGAGGCAGCTAGAAATAAGGTTTTGAAAAGCATAACCATACTTAGGAGAGTAGTCAAGGCTGGAGACACAGATTTGGGAATCCATGGGAATACATATACTCTTCAAAGCCTTGGAATACACCCATATTTGGGCTATGGGGAGAAGCATGGCTATTCCTGGATACAGGGAATAAATAGCTAGAGAAATAGAAGGATAGAGGGCAAAGATACAGAAAGTTTTCAAGAAATAAGAGTTCTCAGCATTGTCAGATGCTACAGAGTAATCAATCAGATATAGCTAACACTAGTCTAGTGTTGGATTTTCAAAGTATTTTCATATATGTGTGATCTCATTTGACCCTCCTAAAAGATACATGTAGGTAATACATGAACACTAATAACTAACCATTGGATTTTTATCATTAAAAGGTCCTTTTTAATATTAGAGAAAGCAATTTCTAAATTTAAAAATCTACCATACTCATACAAGTTGATAAAACGATGAAATTTAATACAACAGGCAAAGGATATGAATTGGTATTTTAAAGAAGATGATGTTCAAAGGGCTGATGAATATGTGAGATGTTCAATGACAAAACAAGGTGCAAGTTAATCCTCCCCTCTTTTTTTTCCCTGCAGATTTCAGAAGAGAGAGATGCAGAAGAAGAAGTTATAGATGAATATCTCCAAAAAGGTGCCCCATAAGTATACCCCAACTCTGATATTCTTGGTTTTTGTTTTTAAAAGATGTAAATGATTAATCCTATCCTAGAGTTTCAACTGGAACTCTAGTTTTCTAAGGAATAAGTTTGAACAGAAATTAAACTTTCTAGATAATACAAGATAGGCATAAGGAAATACGTAGAAAAGTCAATGTAAGTAATAAAGATAAGTTCCATTTTCTCTGTCTTTCTGTCTCTGCAAATATGGAGAATCCACTAGTGCTTGAGATTATATGAGACCACAAAGATACATAGATACAGAACCTGCTTCAGGAAGCTTCAAATCTCAGGAAGAAACCTACATAAATAATACTTGAATCCTGATTCATTCACCAAATAAATATTTATTGAGCACCTCTTATGTGCCATCTGCCATTGTATAATAAGTTCTGGGAATAGAGTATAAACAAAATTGACTAGTAATTTTGAAATTATACCAAGGAATACTGCAGTTAAGAATGAAGATTCTCATTATCTATAGTGATTTAGCTTTATGCTTAGTCTTTATTTCCACTGTATTTTATGCAGCCTTTACATACTTAAAGGCAGAGGGGGGAAAAGAAAAATCCAAGGCAAAATGACCAGTAGGTCCTCCATTTTCTGATGTACCTAGCATTGTACAACCTCTGTTTTTTTAAGTTCATCTAGTGGATCATCCAGTGGGTGAGCAGAAAATAACACATGGCTTGGCGTGCACAGAACAGCTGGAACATTCTTTATACTCTGCAATACTGGTTCATTTCCTCTAATCACTGGAATAAGTAGGAGTCAGAAGTGTTACACTGATACTACAAAACTAACATAAGTAATTAAAATAGGTACCTAGAGACTTATCTCTCTTCTTTCCAGATTCCTTTCTTTCCAGTTTAATCAAATAGAAGTAATCTGGCTTTGATATTTATATATTCCACAGAGATGTTTATATATATTATGACTGTTCTCATGGATTTTCTTTCCTAAAAGGAAAAAGATAAAAGTTTGCTCATCTAGGGTTTTTTTTTTTTTTAAGGCAAAGAAGGATTCTGTCCAATAGCTGAGGAAGCAGCAAAATAATGTGACAGAGGATAGAGAAAAAGTCACAAAGAGAAACAAACTTCAGTCCTGACCATAGATGAAAATATTTATTCCAGATGGAGAAGGGGAAAGGGATGTCTATCGGTGTTAGGTTCTAAGCTCTCATGGGGCAATGGCCCAGTTTTCATAATTGTCACAAAGCATAGAAATGTATGCAATTAAGATATTTATTAAATGTTTTTGCTGCTATTGCTGTTGAATTATAAGAAAGTATCATGAACTATATTATGTTGGTTTCCTGATAGATTTACATGCAGAAGAAAATCGAAACATAGTAAACACATTGAGAGGCAAAGTAAGAGAAAAGTTTAAAAATGCTAAGGTAATGTTTTTTTAAAATTTGCTATTTTCACATACACTGTTTAAATGAGACATATAGCATAATAAACTCTTCTTTGTCAAAAAATAGCTGAAATTCAGTCTTAGTATAGCTCCTTAATTCCAAAAAGTTTCAGTTCTTTCTCGTGTTTTTTTCTTTTCCTTTTGTCTCGTAACATTCCTATAATGTCAGACCTAAAGCCAAGAAAAGTTAAATTATTTGGTCATAGTAATAGTATTAATAATTATATACATGAGGAATATAAATATATGTGTATATGTATACATATGCATGCACACACATATATACATACACTTTTTAAAAGAGAAACATTGAAAAGGCTTGACTTTTATCTATTTTTAGACAAAAGACAAAAAAAAACACACTTTTTATGAGCACAATTATGTCTATCTCTGTAGAGATTGATTTATGTTGTGTTTCAGATTAATCAAGGTGAAAAATCTTCAACTCACCACATTGATAAGGTATGTCAAAGTTCTAAAGTGAATAACGTTTCTTTTGTTTTGTTTTGTTTTTTTACTTTTAAAAATACCTTTATGGAGCCATACTTTACATACACCTTACTTACAATTCGCCCATTTTGAGTTTATGATTTAATGATTTTTAGTTAACTTGCGGGATTATTCTATCGACACTACAATCCAGTTTTCATGACTCCAAAATAGATCTCTCATGCTCTTTTGTAGTCACTCTTTCTTCTTACTTAGCATTACTTTTTATCCTAAAAATATTATAATAAAATATCATTAAAAGATTTACTTAGGCACATTAAAATTTTAGAGTTTATTTAAGCAGACAGCAATTCATGAATTGGGCATTACCAGACTGTGGGTAGTTAGGGCTCTATCAAAGTGGCAGGAGGGAAAACTTTTATAAGGTGCCAGCAGAAGCAAGGCAAAAATATTTGATTAGCTAAAGTGGAGGGATAGCCTTAAAGTCCCTAGTTAGAGATTAGTTTGAAATTTCTGATTGGAAAAACTTAAGTTTCATTTTCCTTGAATATGACCATTCGTGCTGAGTTGGATTTCAGTTTGCTTACATAGGAACTCAGGGTCCTAGAGCCACCTCAGTCTAATGGCCTTCCAACTAACTATTTTGTAGGTGACCCCCAATTTATAGATTTTTAGTGTGTGATCAGTATTTGAAAATTCAGTGTGTAATCACATATTTGAAATTTGAAATGACTAAACAGCTCATATTTTTGGAGAACTGTGTTAGCAGTGGTCTCCAATCTTTTTGGCACCAGGGACCGTTTGCATGGAAGACAATTTGTCCATGGACTGGAGAGGCCGGGGGGAATGGTTTCAGGATGAATCAAGTGCATTACATTTGTTATGCACTTTATTTCTATTATTATTACATTATAATATATACTGAAATAATTATACAACTTACCATAGGTTGGGGACCCCTGATTTAGAGTACTAACTAGATGTAATAAAAAGATTAAAAGTAAAATGTCTTAATTAAGAGAGAGGTTTTATTTCTCTCTAGTGTAACAGATAAGTAGTACAGGCTAGTAGGAGAGTTCTCCCATGTGATTTCCATCTCTGGCTCCAATGGCAAAGCTCCAGTTTTTTCATTTGCTAGCCAAGGGAAAGGAGGAAGAAAGAACCAAAGGGTTGCAGGTTGATCTTCGTTGGGACAGGACCTGCAAATTGTGCACATCATTTCCACTAAGCAAATGTGGGAGAAGTATCTAGGTATCCAGTTAAAAGTAGGTTCTATTATTAGAGATGGGAGAAAAGACAGTAATGAATAACTAGTAGTTTCTGCCACAAACACCTGAAGTATTTAATTCCACAGATTTTGGCTGGGTGTGGCCATTCATGCTTGTAATCCTAGTGTTTTGGGAGGCCGAGGTGGGAGGATCACTTGAGGCCAGGAGTTCAAGATTATCCTGGGCAACATAGTGAGACCCTGTCTCTACAAAAAATAAGAAAAATTGCCCAGGCATGCTATAGTCCCAGCTATTCTGGAGGCTGAGGCGGGAGGATTGCTTGAGCCCAGGAGTTCGAGGCTTTGGTGAGCTATGATCACACCACTGTACTCCAGCCTGGGGAACAGAGTGAGAATCCCTCTCTTTAAAAAAAACAATTTGCAAATTTTAAAAAGTAAAGATTTTTTTAAAAAACCTGTCTTTCTCTCCTCCGCAGTGCCCATCACAAATGCTTAATAAAATTTATTGTAATTAAACTTAAAAATAAAAGTAGACTAAAACTGATGTTTATGTACATGTTGTTCATTCAATATATGAATGAAAACATGGCCTAAATTGGATTTAATTTAACTGTGACTAGTAAAAACTATGAATAGTATGAAGTTTGTCAAGGTCAATCCACTGAGTATCAAGAAAAAAGAGAGGTAAAAGGGAAGAGAAATTGGATTCTAAGAATCTCCATACCAACTACTAAACAGGGATATCTGTTCAGGAATTAGGGTATTTAAGCAAATGTTTTTGAGATGAGCAGAGATGATGGGAAGTGTAAGTACATACTGATGATTCCTATGTGTAAGATTGTTGCAAAGTGAATAACTTTTAAAGTTAATGTGACAGCTAAATTATAGATACAAATTGGTTATAAGATAAGCTTTTGTCTTTTACATACTTTTAAATTCTTTGATTCCTAGTAACTATGAATTCTACTTTTTATATAGAATTGATAAAAACCTTCCTTAAAACAGTTCATTTGAATATATGTATGTAAGAAAGAATTGATGTGATTTATATTTCAAAGATTCAAACTTTACAGGATTGAAAAATGAGAGCTTCTTTGTCAGCAAGTTTATAACTAAGAATATACTACTTTTAATTACATCTAACTCCACAAAAGATTGTGGGGTGAGGTGGTACTCTGTGTGTGTGGGGTGGAGAGAGAGAGAGAAAATGCAAGAGAGCGCAAGAGAGCACACACACCCAAAAACAGGGAGAGAAAAGAAAGAATTTGACCTGAGCTGGCATTTTGGCCAAACTGTGAGGTAATGTTCTTAATGCTCAGACTAGAGTGAGGAGATAGTTTGGGAAGATGGAGAAGATTTGGCTCTACTTTATTCTGGTTTTTATTGAAGTTACCAGAACATTAAAAAAAATAAATTTAAAAAAATAAAAACTCATGAACCAAACAGACTTGAAGCTAAATATAATTTGATATTGTCTGCCTTGCCCTTCCTTATGCATTAAGATATTTATTATTTACCATATTACAGAAAAGTATTTCTTTTTTTTATAAGCAGTAAAATTATTCATTTCAGCACTAAATAATGGTTTACCATTGTTTAACCCACAGACTAAAGTCTCATCAGATGAAGGTCTTTCATTTTTCATTCTGAATGGTGAAGAAGGCTCAGCTTTGGACCAGTCTTCAGAGCAGGTGGGATTTGTTCCCCTCACTCCCACTTCCTCAGTCTCAGGAAAAATAATTTACTACAGGTATATATAGAATGAAATACATGGATGGGGATAGAATTTTTATTATTGCACCTTCCTTTTACCTTTGAGAAGCTTTTCATAACAATAATATTATTATTTATGTATATAATATAATAATTTGTTACTTAAATTTATTGAATGCCTACTTGATGCCCAATGTTATACTGAGTTTTTAAAGTGCATTGTATTATTGTGAGGGAGACACTATGATTATCTTTACTTTATAGGTGAGGAAACTGAGGCATAGAGGGTTAAGCATTGATAGAGCTGGAAAGCATAGGCTGTCAGCTCAGGCACCTGGGTTTTCTTTATCATTTGTTGTTCCTATCCTTCTCAAGTGCTCCACATTGTTCTCCATAGTCTCTATTACTCCTCATAGTTTCCCCTTTCTTCCTCACTCCTAGTCCAACCCCAGATGCCTCTAATTTCTCTCAGTCCTTCCTTGTCCCGTTCAGATGGCTGAGTCCTCCCATCACTGTGTGGTTGCCCTTCCTCCAGTACTAGTTAGTCTCACCAGTTTTTGCCATCTCTTCCTGATTTGTCAGCTCACTAGTCTCCCCATCTGCTCTTGTTCCTGTCTACTTTCTCTGATTTCTCTGTACCTTCAAGTCTCCCAAGTTTTCTTCAGCCCTCTCTACCTAGCACCTCCTATTATTCCCAGTGGTCCCTGGCCAGTACATTCAGACACCTCTCAGTCGTTTCCAGATCCCTCAGTCCTCCTTTCAAGTACCTCTGGGACCCCCATGTGCCTTCCTACTTGCCTACCAGTCCTTTCCATTCCCCTTTTTTTTGCATTCTGCTCCAGTCCTTTCATTCCTTTTCTGTTATCATTGTTTTTTCCACAATAAAAACTTTATCTTTTTAAATTTCGAACAAATAAAACATATGCACTATAAAAACTTCAAGCAGAAAACCATGAGGAAGAAAATAAAAATCAGCCAAAATCCCACTTCCCTGAGATAATCACTATTATCTTCTTTCATATCTTTCTCTATGCGTATGCCCGTACATGCATACACACAGTTTCATATATACAGAATTGTAATAGTAAATGGCAATTCCATTTTTCTAATTGCTGAGCTGAACTTTGGTGTCATCCTCAGATCCTCTTTTACTCACATGCCCAGTACACAGTTCATCACAAATCCTGTTGGTTCTACCTTCAGAGTATGCCAGAGTCTGACCCACTTTTCACTACCTTCACTGGTACTTCACCATAACCTCTTATCCGGATCATTGTCATAGTCTCCCGCTGTACTCACTGTTCCCCTGGTAGTCCATTTCCATATTATACAGTAGCCAGGGTGGTCCTGTTAAAATCTAAGACAGACCATTCTTTTGCTTACACATTCTAATGATTTTCTATCTTGCTCAAAATAAAAGCTGAAGTCCTCACAGGAGCTTCCAGTCCTACATGACCTGGCAGATTAGGTAGACCTCATAAAAGAGACCTATAGGGTCATAAATCAGAGGCTAGGGTCCAAGATGAGAACTTGACATAGTCAGCAGTACCCCTCTGACTTCATTTCATTTCATTTCTTATTCCTTTCCCTCCTCTCACCTAACAGCAGCCACATTCCTTCCTGTTTCTAACTCACAGCATGCTCCTGCCTCAGGGTCTTTGCACCTAGGTATCTGCCTAGAAAGCTCTTCCTTTGTCCTCATGCTGTATCTCTTACTAACTTTGGGTCTCTGTTCAAATGACACATTGTTAAAGATGCTGTGCCTGACAACCCTGTCTAAAACAGTAGCCTCCCAATGCACCTAGCCCAGCATTCTCTCTCCTCTTATCCTGTTTTATTTTTCTTCATAATACTTATCACCACCACCTAACATATATTTCTTTGTGTATTTTCTTCCTGGAACATATTAGGCACTCAATGAATATTGGAATGAAATTAAATAAATGGGCTTCAAATATGCCCATGTTCTTAAATGCCAACTCCACCTGACCTCCCAGATTCCCATGGTATGGATTAAGGAATAGGCTTTTCTGGGAAAACAAGAGAAGGCCCTATCTCTGATCCTAAGACTCAGCACAGTATACCTGGGCCAGGTGCTGTGATTGTGGCCACTTTTCCTTCTCATGGGGCAAGCATGAAAGAAATTTGGTCAGTAGAGGTTGAGGGTGGGGCAAATAGACTACTGAATATAAGATATTTTCTTGATTTTATGACAGGGATAGGAAGAAGGGTGTGATGATATAACTTCATGTGAACCTACGTGATGCTTAACTACATAGCTTATTTAATTTTGTCAGAGCTGATCAAAGCCATGTAGGTTCTCTATTCAAAGGAGTTATGTGATTAATTCTTTAATTCTTTTTATTTTATAATTTATCCTAAATGTATGGTTTTCAGAATTGAGGGATTTTTATTTGCATGACTCATACATGTTCTCTCTTGTTCATTATATGTGGATTTCAAATTAGACAAGTAAAGTCATCCAAAATAAATTGATGGTTATATTTTTGTAAATAGACTCATTAAATTTCTGATTATGATATAAGTATACTTTAATATTTAGTAATTATCTGTTTCCATAGCTATATTAAGACTATTTATAACCTTTATATATATGATCATATTTCAGAATTTCACTGTAATCACTCTGCCATACTTCTATGTTGAATCAAAATTTCTTCTTTCTTTTTTATTTTCTTAAATACCTTCTAGAAAATAGCATCCCGACTCCATAGCACTGTAAGTAGTACTGCTTTCTGAAAGATGAAAAAATGGGGTTTAAGACCACATAGTCTGATGCCTCTGGAGCCTGCCCTACATTATGAATTCTCAGTAGTTGAAGTCCAGTATCTCAGAACATTTTCTATAGTGGAGGAGGGACTTAAGTTATAATTCTATTTCAGCAGTCTTTCACTGGAAAATTGCAAAAGTGAGCTATAGATAAGCCATATTGTATAATATTAAGCCTAAGTGAGTTCCATTATGTTCAGTAAAATTTCATTTCAACTAGAACTTGATCTGGGTGGCACAGATCAGGAACACAGTTCATAGTAAGGTTCCAGTACATTTCATTAATCTGCCTATTAATCATTGGGAACAAGCATCTAGACTTATTTTTGTTTTTGGTATTCAACAGAGATCAGTAAATGATAGTTACTCCAAACACTTTTCACTTGGTGCTAATTTACAAAATGTTCCTGAGAGCCAAGATGAAGATTTTATGGAAAAAGTCATTTTTACAGATTTACTTGAAGTAAAAGCTGCTGAATATGAAGATGCTCAAGAACAAATAAAAAAACAGCAGGCAAATATTTTTGTGCCAAGTAGTTCTCCCGGTAATGTTCTTTTACAATAAAATAGTCAAGTCATTAATGAATCATGTTATGGGATAATAGCTTCTTTGCTGGATAAATAAAAAGTACTTATCTAAAATTATAGTAAGTTTTCTATATTTGTTTTCCATGCCTTCTCTGAGTTATGGGAATTGATTAAGAGAACTCATTTATCATATATATACGTGTGTATGCGCACACACTTTCTGCTAGATTTTAGTGGTAGGATGTAATGATAGCTCCTTTGTGCTTCTTGTTTGGTCAATACCTGTTTAATATTTTGGATTTAAAAAATATCTGAATTTTGTTGTTATTAAGTGCACAGCCAGCATAAATTGCCAAAAGGAATGTTACCACGCATTTTAGAAGATGAAGGGTTCTATATTCAGAGAAAGCCAGAAATATATAAAAAAACCTGCAACAAAATGGAAAATCGGCTGCTTAAATTAGAAAAGGCAAGTATGCCAGCTAACATGTTACACTGCTCACAGATACTGTGTGATCTTTTTTAGTGAAATATTTAATTACTATATTTCTCAAATATTTTTGATAGGGAAAGTGTTGGTTTGAAGAAAGTGGTGAATTAATGTCATTACCTACACCTATTAAACAGTCATGGAGTTTCTTACTAAACATAAGCAAGGAATCTTTAAATCCAGCACTAAAGACCACATACAGGAAGGTAATCAGCAATAGTTTGTTTATAATTATGGTTAGAATTCTTATAATATCAATTATAACTAATATTTTGGTGTGTTAACTTATCCTTTAATGATATTAAGTCGAGTAAATAGACCTTAAAATTATGTTTTAAAGGAATATTTAATGATATGGGGAGATGCTCAAATTAAAATGTGAACTGAAAAAAAGCAGAATGCAAAGTTATATATGATCCTAAATTTATAAAAATAGATAATTTCTACCAGTATGGATTATGCTTGTCTGTTTTACCTATTTTGCAAAAATGGAATCAATAGGTACTCTAGTTGTTGTGTACAGCAGTAGTTGGCTCATTTCTATTGCTGTATAGATCTCCATTGTACAAAAAATACATTTATTTATTTATCCATCCATTCTTCTATTGATGCATATAAATTGCATCCAGTTCTTGGCTATTAGTAATAACACTGCTATAAAATTTTTGCACATCTTCTGACAACTATACGTATATTCATTTTCTGTTAGGTAAATATCTGAGTTGAAATGGGTTATAGGTTTGTGTGTGTGTAGTTTTACTATAATATGTAGTACCAAACAATTTTCCAAAGTAGTTGTACCAAATTATACATAAACTAGAAGTGTGTGAGAATTTCAGCTGCTTTATATTATTGCCAACACTTGGTATTGCCTGGCTTTTAAATTACAGCCATTTTGGTGTACATAAGTAATACTTCATGAGGTTTTAATCTGCTCTCTGAAGACTAGTGAAATTGAATACCTTTTCATGTTCATTGGCAATTTGGGCAGCTTCTTTTATGAAAGCTTGGTTAAGACTTTTACACATTTTTTTCTTACTGGGTTGTCTGCCTTTTCTTATTGACGTGTTGATTTCTAGTTATGAGCCCTATATTGGATGAATATATATAATTCTCTACTAATTTTCTCACCTTCAGAACAGTGCCTTTTGATGGTACATTGTTAATTTTCATATAGTATAATTTGCCATTTTCTTTTTATTTATGGTTAGCATTTTTTGTGTTCTGTTTAAGAAATCTTTGCATACTCTGAGTCCTGGAGATAGTATTCTGTTTTTGTTTTTTCTGTCTTGTTTTTTTCTAAAAAGTTTATTGTTGTGCCTTTCTTGTCTAGAGTTACCACCCATCTAGAATGTACTTTTTGTGTATAATGGTAGGTAGAGAGTCATGTTTTATTTTAACCACATGGATATTCAGTTGACTTAGTACTATCAATTGAAAAAAATCAGTAATCCTTTTCTTTTTATAATTCATTGTCATCTTTGACATTAATCAGTTGGCCATGTATATGTAGGTCTGTTTCTGGACTTTCTATTCTGTTTCATTCATCTACTTGTATATTTTGATCTCATATCACACTGTGTTAATGTAGATTTATAGTAAGTCTTTTTTAGTTTTTTGAGGTCATGATCATTCGTTTATTTCACATTTTATTCTCATTACATTGGGCTGGGATAGGAAGGAGTCAGGTACCAATGTACAGATTGTGCTATTCCCTTGCTTTCAGACAGAATAGGAATCCAGGTTCTAATCATCTCTAAGTTCAGGGTCTGAATCAGAGTAAGAATAGGTCAACTACTGCTTCTGGAGAGTGAGAGATGCCAGGTGCCCTTATAGGAAAAGAAGGAGACACCAGAGCTTGCTTGCTTTTCACCATGTGAGGACACAGAAAGAAGGAGGCTGTCTACAGGCCAGGAAGAGAGCCTTCACAAGGAAACAAATTGGCTGGCATCTTGATCTTGGACTTTCCAGCCTCCATAACTGTGAGAAATAAATTTCTGTTGTTCAAGCCACACATTGTGTGGTATTTTGTTATAGCAGCCCAAGAAGACTAAGATATCTTATTTTTCTCATCATATTAAGCTAGCTTGTACCAAGTTGAGTATAACTGGTGATAACAGTCATCCTTTGTCTCATAATCTTAGAAGTTAAACTATCAGTATTTCACTATTAAGTATGATTTTGGTGAAAGATTTATAGATGATATGTATCAAGTTGAGGAATTTCCCCTTCTTTATAGTTTGCAAGAATTTTTATCATGAATGGATTTTGATATTTACCAAATGCTTTTTCTAAGCCTATTGAGATAATAGTGTCAATTTCCCCTTTTTACTTTTAATGTGATGAATTACATTGATTTCAAATATTTCTGTAATAAATTTTATTTGTAATATATTTTTATATTTATTGCTGGATTTGATTTGCTAATATTTTGCTTAGGATTTTTACATGGATGTTCGTAAGAGAAGTTGTTCTTCCTCATCATGTTATTGTTATATTTTCTATCAAGGTTACACTGGCTTCAACACAAATTGAATACTATACCCTCTTTCTCTTCTTTGGGAGAGTTTTGTAAGATTGTTGTTATTTCCTCTTTAAATGTTTGAAAGAATTTACTGATGAATCCATCTTAGCCTGGAAATTAATGTATGGGAATGTTTTTAATTATATATACTATTTACTCAAAAAATATAGGACTATTCAATGGAAAGACAACCTATGTTCATGGATTGGAAGACTTAATGTCATTAAAATATCCATATTACCCAAATTAATCTACAAATTCAGTGTAAAATGTATCAAAATGTCAATGGTATTTTTTACAGAAATATAAAAAATCCTAAAATTCATGAGGAACCATAACTGACTTCAAAACATATTTAAAAGCTACAGTAATTAAAACAGTATGATACTGGCATAAAGACAGACATATAGACCAATGAAATGGAATGAAGAGCCCAGAAATAAGCCCACATTTATATAGTCAATCTTCAACAGGGTGCCAAGACTACACAATGGGGAAAGGATAGTTTCTTCAACAACTGGTACAGGAAAAACTGGATATTCACATGCAAAAGAATGAAATTGGACCTTTGTCTTATACACAAAAATCAACTCAAAATGGAATAAAGGCTTAAACATAAGACTTGAGACTATAAAACTAGAAGAAAACATAGGAGGAAAGCTTTATAACAATGGCAGTGGTTTCCTGGCTATGACACCAAAAGGATAGGCAACAGAAACAAAATAGATAAGTGAGAGTACATCAAACTGAAAATCTTCTGTGCAGCAAAGGAAACAATCACCAGAGAGAAAAGACAACCTATGGAATGGGAAAAAATATTTGCAAACTATATATCTGATAAAGAGTTGATATCCAAAATATATAAAGAACTCCTACAACTCAGTAACAACAACAACAACAATATTAAAAAATGGGAAAAGGACTTGAATAGACATTTCTTCAAAGAAAACGTACAAACGACCAATTATACATATAAAAACATGCTCAACATCACCAGGGAAATGCAAATCAAAACCACAATGAAACATCACTTCAGACCTGTTAGGATGATCATTATTTTAAAAAGTCTCAGAAAATAGTGAGTGTTGGCAGGGATATGGAGAAATTGGAACCCTTGTATACTATTGTACTATTGGTGGGAATGTAAATTGGTGCAACCACTATGGAAAAGAGTATCCTTAGGCCGGGCGTGGTTGCTCATGCCTGTAATCCTAGCACTCTGGGAGGCTGAGGCGGGTGCATTGTTTGAGCTCAGGAGTTCGAGACCAGCCTGAGCAAGCGCGAGACCCCGTCTCTACTATAAATAGAATAAATAGAAAGGAATTAATTGGCCAACTAAAAATATATAGAAAAAATTAGCCAGGCATGGTGGCACATGCCTGTAGTTCCACCTAGTTGGGAGGCTGAGGCAGCAGGATTGCTTGAGCCCAGGAGTTTGAGATTGCTGTGAGCTAGGCTGAGGCCATGGCACTCTAGCCCAGGCAACAGAGTGAGACTCTGTCTCAAAAAAAAAAAAAGAGTATCCTCAAAAAATTAAAAATAGAGCTATAATATTATACAACAATCTGACTTATGGGTACTTATTTTAAAAATGAAATCAAGATCTTGAAAAGATACTTGCATTTCCATGTTAATTGTAGCATTATTCACAACAGCCAGGAGTGGAAACAACCTAGATATCCATTAACAGTTGAATGGATAAAGACTGTGCAGTATATATATTTGTGCAGTGGAATGTAGCATTTTCTCAGAGGACCCAGGTTCCTCAAGGGAATTTTCCAGAGGATCACCAATATATTCACTAAGAAGTAACATTTTAATAAGTAGTTACTATTTAGCTGTGGCCCATAGATGTACTATTTAGTTGTGGCCCATTACATCATCATATAGCTGAACTATTGACCCAACAGTTCTAAGCACCATTTGTCATAGTGTTCCTGTAGGAAATTATTTTTTCTCTTATAACTTGAAAGACCAGCCTCCATCAGCACACAATAGTGAGGTAGACAACAATTTATAGCAAGATGATTAAAATGCTGTAATATAAATATATTTTATGAAACTTAGCCGTAATCAATTTAAAGGAAGAATGATCGCATTATTGTTTTTTTGTTTTTTTGTATCTCTTGATTTTCCTATAATTGACATGTTATTTTTATAAGGAAAAGTTACTTGTAATTTCAAAATAAATTGAATAAAATTAACAAAGTTTACATATTTTTCTTTAAAAGGCAGTAAAATATGACCTAGGAAGCTCTTTTAGGGAAAAAATGAAACATCAAAGGGAAATGTACCAATTAGATCTCAACATTATGGGTTTACAATTCAGCCACCATCATCTCTTCAATCAAGAACAAGTATTATGTGCTAGGCTGCTCCAACTTTATGAATATTTTCAGGACAGGCAGCAACAGAATTTACCTCAGCTGCTTTATGAGAAGGTGAGAATAGCTTTCATTATATTTATAATGCTGAACATTTTAAAATTTTTTTAATTTTAATTTTAACTTTATTCATCATGACAGCCTACCATTGAATAGAGCTCAACATGTAATATTGAAAGAGAAAAAAATCTTAGTATAGAGCAAGTTATCAGAATATTTTTTCTTAGCACTCTAAATATTTAACTAATTAGAACAAAAGTTTGATAAAACTGTCGGAGTTGACTGGCTGAGAATATAGCCTCAAACATAACCTGCAGGATATTTACCACATATAAATGGTTTGATAATCAGTATTTTTGGCCCTATGACTCAAGAAGTGTATTTTAAATGATTGCTAAAAGAGACATGTACCTGTTTTAAGTCTTATAATAAAGTATTTTGTTAAAAATGTTAGAAATCTTGAATCTCATATCAAATGTAAAGAGTCTCGGTCTGAGGAGGGTCAATCCAGATAGTCATCTAATAACATTATGAAGGTTATATAGAGTCTGAAGAGAAATTAAAGGAGTACCAACTGATTATTTTTACAGACTTTACCTCTTATTTAAACTCTGCTGGGTTTCTGATACATGATCATTTTGTTAACTAGTATTCTTTTGGGAATGGTATATTGATAGGCCTCAACTATGGGTACATTTGAAATTAAATACCTACTAAGGTATTACTAGGTGTTTAATTAAACATTCAATCCTGATGGAGTCACCAACACATCTTGATAAGCTAGACATGAATTGTACTTTAATAAATATCAGCTTTTTAAAATACAAGTACAAAATCCACAAAACTTAATCTATTTGATTGAATTTTCATGTAGCAATTGTGTGGGAGAATTTAATGAACACCACACATTAATAACATCAGAATATTTCCTAAAATTAATACTGAATATTTTAACTTTTAGTATAGTATGACCATTTTTTTAATGAGTGAAGGAACCAACTCTGAGATTCAGCTGCAGGTCATTGAAAAAGTGATTTGATTTACAGATTTCTACTTTATGGAATTTTTTCCAACAATATTATATAATCTTTAAAGTCTAATCTAGCAATATCAATTTTATTTGATTAGATTGCTATTATATTAGTGTGTGTATAGACTCCAGGTTTATTTTTCATGTAGCATGCATGGCTCTCTGCATAAAGCAAAAATCTTTTGGGATCATTATTTGCAACATGTTTCAGTATTATTACTGATTCTTAGGAGCCAAAGTTGATTTTTACTTTTCTTAAATTTATGCTGTTATGTGAATATAGATATTTTCTCGAATTGTAAAAAGAGAAATGTAGTAGGCTGTGTGCATGTCCTTCTCTTCTGAAGGAGGAGAAGAGCAGTGGGGAGGAAGAGAAAAGGCTACGTATGGCAGAGCACTTCCTCTGGCCTCCTACTGAAGACTGATTTGTTTAAACATGCATAATGTATGTATCTGTTTAGTCCTTTGGTGTGAAATGTATGGCTCTGCTTGTTCCCAGTGTTTTCAAACCAGTTCAGAGCAGTGGAAGACTCACTGGCATCCAAGGAATTCTTAAACTGGAATATGTTCCTTTATATGAGTATGAACCCCACTTAAAGAATAAGGAGGAATGTTACAGACAGTATGAGAGTAGAAAGAATGCACAGCTATGTCTGCTATTTTTCCCTCTAGATTTATTTTTTTAAATCATACAAGTAATAGGGGAATACATTCATTAGAAAGGATTCATTATAGAAGTGTCAAAGGGTGAAAGGCCTACTTAATTCCTCACCTCATGGTTTGCAGAACAACTTTAAAGTTTTCTTTTCCCTCTATTTCTATATATAGGTATGCCATAATTGTTTTCACCATAAATTGGATCTTACCATATGTATTATTTGGCAACTTGGTGTTTTAACATTAGTACTGTATCTTGGAACTTTTTCCATATCACTATATATAGGACCATAACATAGTTTTATTTTAATATATTTAATCATTCTCCATTCATGACACTTAGGTTATTTACATTTTTTATGATTATAAATAATGAAATAATGAACATCCTTAAACTCATATATTTGAATACACATATGAATACTTTTATAGGCTAAATCTCTAAAAAATGAAGTTGCTTGGTCAAGGGTGAGTAAGGATACATACAGTTTAAATTTTATTAGAAAGTGATAAAATGCCTTTCCAAAAAATGTTGTTCCAATTTCAATTTCTACTGGCAGTACAGGACAGGAATCCACTTCCCAGATTCCTTACCTGTGATATTTGCCCATTTTGCTCTTGCTTTGCTTATCTTTAACTAATCTATAAGCATTTTAAAATATGTATTAATATATTCTGGATGTAAGTCCATAAAAGATGTGTGTCTTTTAAGTGTGTTTTGTATATTTTGTCACCTTTGGTTACTTGCTTTTTAACTACATATATTTGGCTAACATTTTAAAAATTTTATGAGGTCAAATCCGTCAATCTTTTCCTTTATGGATTTTAGGTTTTGTGGTTTGTTACTTTGCTTCCCAAGTTTCCTAAGTCCTTTCTACTTCATGTGTATCAATTAGCATACTTTCAGTTGCAATTTATAGAAAACTCTATCTCAATTACTTTAAACCAGGGGTCCTCAAACTTTTTAAACAGGGGGCCAGTTCACTGTCCCTCAGACCCTTGGAGGGCCAAACTATAGTTTAAAAAAAACTATGAACAAATTCCTATGCACACTGCACATATCTTATTTTGAAGTAAAAAACCAAACAGGCAAAAACACCCGCATGTGGCCCACGGGCCATAGTTTGAGGATGCCTGCAACAATAAGCAAAAGGTATTACTTCTTATTGCCCAAGTTAGGGCAACTATAGTGATAGTTAGTTTGATGGTTCAACAATATTAACAACGCTAGCTTTATCTCTCCTTCTCCTCATCTTCAGCAAATAGACTTGGTTAGCTAGCTCTACTCACGGAACTTGTGTGACGTATTAGTCTAGTCCTGCTCTTTTCTCATTACTGTTTTTACTTATTACGTTAAGATGTGTAGTAGGACAGGTGCCTCCTTATTATTGTTCTTTTCTAGAATGTTTTTGGATACCCTTATAGATTTGATCTTCCATATGAATCTTAGAATTAGCTTGTCACCTTCTGTTTTAAAAAAAATCATATTATAATTTTTATTATGATAGCTTTTATTGTTATATTAATTTTGAAAGAAATTTGATCTTTGTAAAAATCAGGTTTCTTCATCCATGAATATAGTATGTTTTCCCATTTGTCTAGGTCTTCTCTTATGTCTATCTTCCAGTAAAAGTTTATATCAACTGATTCTAGTCTTGAAGTTCCTACAAATACCCCTAACTGTGCCAGATGTCTCCTGTATGTGTTTTAGGGTATAGTTTCCTCTAGTTTTATTTCTCTATGGATATTACACTGTTTTATACCTTCTGCAGTATACCTTGTTCTCCTTATTTTATTTTCATTTCCTATGTTATACATTTATTATTTCATAGATGTAGATAGTTATCGATATAGGTATATAGATATGGATATGATGATGGGAATGGATGTGAATAAAGACAAACATATCTTTTCGGAAACCATGAGATTTTAGGTAGAAGTTAAATAGATACCTGTGCTCAGTCTGCCATCTTGATCTAATAGCATTTCTCTATATCAATTGATGAACTAATTATCTAGTATATTCAAGGTATGATGTTTATTGTTTAGATATATATTGAAGCTCTTCTCAGTTCTGTCCTAAGATGCTTATATGAAATATATTTTAGAAGACAAGAAAATAATTCACCAGAAAGTTACACATTTGTGCTTCTGCTGCACACACCTAGACCTACTGGTGAATTAGAGCAGGGATCCTCAAACTTTTTAAACAGGGGGCCAGTTCACTGTCCCTCAGACTGTTGGAGAGTGTGCACTGTGGGCCCGGGACAAGTTGGTTGCTGAGCAGGACAGACAGTGGCAGCAAAAACACCTAAGACACATAAATGTCCTAGGCGGGTGGCATGTGACCCACAGGCCATAGTTTGAGGACGCCTGAATTAGAGTAATGGTAACAGGTGGATAAAATATACCAGAGAGCTCTTTTCTTTGTTATAGCTGAAAGCATTGACAAATGCTACCAAATTAGCAAATGAAAATTTGGAAATAAACCAGATGACCAGAAAATCCCTGCAAGATTATTATTGGCAGATAAGGTAGGTTTTGAGCCATTCATGTATTTATCAAGTACTTATTAAGTAACTTGTTTAGACAAACTACTGCACTTGCTATGGAAGATAAAGTACAAGATCCCTACTCTTTAGGAGACTACCTAGATGGTTCCAATCTTTCCTTAAGGCCTATGTTTGTGTAAAAATATTTCACAGAAATGCCATGTGAAAGTAGTTGTAGTTTTAATATCTATTGATTTTTAAAATGTTGATGAAAAATTGAGTTCACTAATACTTTTAAGTAGTGATGTAGATTATTAATCTCAAGTATTTGTAAATAGTTGAGAACTAGTACACATTGGATATGTGTAAAATATATTACTAATTCAGTCTAAAGCCATATTTTATGAACACATGGATTTAAGGACCCCTATAAGAAAACATGGTCTACAAGTTGGGAAACAATGGCTTATGGACTAGTTGGGAAAAGAAGTTATGAAAGTATGAAATAACTAGAAAAATAATTCTAAGACAAAACATATTCATGTGTCAAGGAATCTCCAAAAGCAGGTAAGATCACTGTAAGATACTTAATAGGTAGAAAGATCAACTGTGCACAAAAATATAACAGTTTCCTATATATAAGAGTGATTTGCTAGGTATAGAAATTCCCCGACTTCCTGCTCATTGACCTGACATGGTTCTACAAACTCTTAGCCATTAGAGGCAACAATTGATTTAAATCATTGGTTTCCTTGAATAACTTATTTAAATGTAGACAGTGTTACTTGAGAAGGTTGACATATGGCTTACATGAGGCCTGGTACATGGTGAGTATTAAATAAATGTTAGTTGAATAAATGAATAGAAGCCATCAGCATTTATAAAGCAATAACTGGTATTATTTATAATTTAGCTAAAATTGAAGGCACAGAACAAACATGGGCAGAAAGAGCACAGAATAAATAAACTTTGATTCAGGAAAAAGAAAAAAGTTGGCTCTAGATGGGGTCCAGTATTGGTGAATGGAGGTCCACTACTGTGTGTGGGTATGTGTGTGTATGGAGGGGTGATCACCGAAGAGGTAATCACTTTTATTAAAGCAGAAAAGAAGCATGTAATAGATTTTCATTCAGGAACGTTTTGGGGGTGATATTGAAATGCTGCAAAGGGCAGTTTGGGGACATTTGAAAAACAATGTTTCTATTAGAGAAGGGAATGGCACATATATGTTTAACCTTTAATGACTATCTTCTAGTTGCCTAGTACCCACAATCACCCAGTACCCAGAAAAGAAATCTGTAAGTCAAATATGACCCTCTATTTGCCTCTACTCTCATCCCTCACATCCAACTCATAAAAATATAAGAACTCAAGTTACTATATTTTTTAATTTTTAAAATCTCATTCCATTTTGCCTTCCTCTGTCTTTGCACTGATTCTGTTTATTTCAGGTGCTTCTTTTGTGGCTTGACTACTCAGATAGTCTCCTAAAATATCTCTTAAACCATGCTCCATACTGAAGCCAGAGTGATTTTTATAAATAAATAAAACATCTTTAGTGTCTCCCTGTTATCTTTAGAATGATCTGTAAGGCCCTACATAATCTGATTCCTGCTACCACTCCAGCCTCATGTTAGGGGCTCTCTGCCTTGGAACTTTATAGTCTAGTACCCTAAATGGGCTATGCTAAAATATTTTTCTTTTAATGTCTCTTGCTTTGAGAATATTCTTTTGTCTTTTTCTGCCTAATACTTAGTAAATATTACAGATTTTTTTTTTTCGATTTCATGTCACTTTCTCAGGGAGGCTTTTACTTGCTTATTAGACTAGATTAAATTCTCTTTAACTCAAATAAAAAATGCAATACCTTTTACTATAGACCCAAAGAAAATCAAATATCTAGGAGTATATTTAATGAAAGATATAAAAGATTTATACAAAGAGAACTACAAAAAACTAAAGAAATTGTAGATGATGTAAACAGACGGAAAAATCTACCTTGTTCATGGATTGGTAGAATCAATATTGTTAAAATGTCAATATTACCTAAAATGATATACAGAATCAATGCAATCCCCATCAAAGTACTACCATCATTCTTTACAGAGCTAGAAAAAATAATTCTTCAATTTGTATGGAACCAGAAAAAACTTCGTATAGCCAAAGCAATCTTAAGTAAAAAGAACAAACTGGGAGGCATCAGTCTTCCTGACTTCAAGCTGTACTATAAAGCAATAATAGTTAAATCATCCTGGTACTGGCACAAGATCATAAGCATCGATATTTGGAATAGAACTGAGATTCCAGAGATGAAACCATCTGCATATGGTAACCTAATCTTTGATAAAGCAGACAAAAATATACAATGGGGAAAAGAATCTCTCTTCAATAAATGGTGCTGGGAAAACTGGATAGCCACATGCAGAAGAATGAATCAGGATCCCTACCTCTCACTGCTCACAAAAATTCACTCAAGATGGATAACAGACTTAAACCTAAGGGATGAAACCTTAAGAATCCTAGAAGAAGACATTGGGAAAACCCTATCAGACATTGGCCTAGGCAAAGAATTTTTGAGGAAGACCCCCAAAGCAATCACCGCAGCATCAAAAATAAACAAATGGGATCTGATCAAATTAAAAAATTTCTGCACAGCCAAGGAAACTATCATTAGAGCAAATAAAGAACCCACAGAATGGGAGAAAATATTTGCTCTCTACACTTCTGGTAAAGGTCTAATAATAAGACTCTATCTAGAACTTAAAAGAATTAACAAGAAAAAATCAAACAGCCCCATCAAGAAATGGGGAATGGAAATGAACAGAAACTTCTCCAAAGAAGACAGAGTAATGGTCTGCAAACATATAAAAAAATGCTCAACATCCCTAATAATTAGAGAAATGCAAATCAAAATCACAATGAGATACCACCTAACCTTAGTGAGAATGGCCTGTATCAAGAAATCCCCAAACAACAAATGCTGGCAAGGATGTGGAGAGACAAGAACACTCTTACACTGCTGGTGGGACTGAAAATTAGTGCAACCTCTGTGGAAAAGAATTTTGAGATACCTCAAACAGCTAGAGATAGAAATACCATTTGACCCAGCAATAGCATTGTTAGGTATCTACCCCAAAGAGACATTCTATTATAAAGACATCTGCACCTGAATGTTTATGGAAGCACAATTCACTATTGCAAGGACATGGAAACAACCCAAGTGCCCGTCAATTCATGAGTGGATTATTAAAATTTGGTATATATTTACAAGGGAATATTACTCAATTCTAAGAAACAACAGTGAGCTAGCACCGCTCATCTTATCCTGGATTGAGCTTAATCCCATTGTCCAAAGTGAGGTGACACAAGATCGGAAGAATGGGCTCCACATGTATTAGCCATCAAATTGGTACTGACTGATTAACACTATGGTGCTCAAATGGTGGTAGTATTCACCAGGGATTCGGGGGAGGGAAGGTAAACACCCATCTTAGTGATGTGGTGAGCATTGTGGAGAGGAAGGGCATACCTCTAACCCTTCTTAGGGAGAGGCAAAGATATAAAATGTAACCAAAATGTCAAAAAAAACCAACAACTTTTATTGTGTGGCAGGCAGGTGGGAGGGGGGAGGAGGGGATGAGTGTATACCTACATAATGAGTGTGATGTGCACCACCTGGAGGATGGACACACTTGAAGCTATGACTCAGCGGGGGGGTGGGGGGGTGGCAAGGGCAAAATATGTAACCTAAAATATATTTGTACCCCCATAATATGATTAAATAAAAAATAAAAAAAGAAACTAAAATAAAAAATGATCAAGAAAAAAATATTTAAAATTCTGGTTTTTTTATATACTTATATAGCACTTTGTATTTCCCCTTTTGTGATACTCATCACATTTGTAACTACTTGTTCTGTCTTTTCCACTGGGATATTAGTTACCAGCACCTAAGATAATTCTTGCCACATAATAGATATCTATTACATATTAATTTATTTGAGTATCATATATTCTATGAAGTCTTTCCCTGCTATTGTCTACCATTCTCATATTTATGCCCAAACTATGTCTTGTGTGGACTTTTATCATAACACCCATAACATTTTATTGCATTGATTAATTTATGTGTCTGTAAGCCTCTTGAACTCAGCAAGTCTTTTGATCTCTTTATTCCCCCTTGATTGAAATAATGCCTGGCATGTAGTAAGCACTGAACAAATCTTTACTGGATGAATGAATGGAAATAGGCTTCTTTTTCTAGCAGTATTATAGATACCCCCTACAGATACCAAAATTCGTGGATGTTTTAATTCCTTATATGAAATGACAATAGTGTTTGCATATATACCTATACAAATCCTCCTATATACTTTAAATCATCTCTAGATTACTTGTAATACCTAATAAAATGTAAATTCTATGTAAATAGTTGCTATACTGTATTGTTTTTTATTTGAATTCTTTTTTATTGTTGTGTTTTTTATTTTTTAATATTTTGAGTCTGCAGTTGGTTGAATCTGCAGATGCAGAACTCGTGGATATGGAGGGCCAACTATACGTTGGAACTCTAGAGTCTATTAAAGGCTTGCAATATTCAGGGGAAGACTTGGATGGCAAATTAGGGTTAATTTTGGTCAATTTTAATTCTCAGCACAATAACAGTTACCTATGCCCCACCTCTCAGCCCCATGTCAGGCAGCTGTGCATGTGTCCCTGGAGCAACCTACACAGAGTTTGGAGGAGCCAGAGTGGGCAAAAAGGACTTATTCTTCCAAATATTTGGCATGTGTGCTCTGATAACTGATTGCTTTTTATGATCACAGAGATGAAAAGAGAATGGGGCCATTATTGTTATACTTTCCCCCATAGTTGCAAGTCTTCCTCCATCTCTAGCTATAGTGACTTCCACAGGACTTAAAAGGCTGGTGCTCCTCCCTCGTTTCATTTTTCTCTTTTTTGGAGCCAAATATTAAAGACTAAGACACTCTAAAGCAACTGCATAAATAGGGAAAATTATAAAATAGGCTAATTGTACCTAG